TGCATTTACACTGAACCTGGTATGTAACATCTGGTCTGGGTTAGCCTACACAGAAAAAATGGTTTTGGTAATCTAATCTTTATTTTTAATTGTGTGGGGACAGTAAAGCTATATGAATAATAAAACACGAAGACTTGCTGTAAACCAACAGGTTTTACATGTTTGTTGTTGTTAGGTGCTGTGGAGCTAGTTCCAACTCATATACCACTTACAACAAACTTAATCTGATGCTTAATGGTGTGCATTGCATGGTAAGTAGCTGTAAACACTAAGTAGTTCGTATAAAGGACTGTAATTAATGTGTTTCATAGAGCCAAACAAGCATTTCTGGAGCAAACTCTACGGGGAAATGAGTAGATGCACTAACCAGGGGCACAGTGGGTAAATCCCACCTTCTTTGCTCACTGTGTGGTAAGGATCATCATGAATCCAATCCCCAAAGTGTGGAAATGGAGCCAGTCCTCACCTTCCCACTTCTCCATCCTAGGTGCCAGCCGCTCACGTGGCACACTCTCTCCAATCCTAGCCACCCAGAGCTTGCTCAGAACTCACAAGTTAGATGGACACTGTCTTTCAGACCAATTGCTCATGCAGCATTTCTTGGCCCCAAGCTACCCAGAGCTAGGTCAGAGTTCACATGTTAGAATGACACCTCCTTTTAGACTGCCAAATAGGCAGATGTCAGCTCCTGCTGGTTCTCACTGACCCTGTGGGTTTGCTAATTGGCTGGGACGACTTATAGAAGCTCATGGAGAGTATACTTCAGCAACAACTTTATTACAACCAAAAAGGATACAAATGAAGAGACACATAGGGTGAGGTCTGGGACAGGTTACAGCACGGAGCTTCCAAGTTTCCCAAAGAGGGATGTGCTACTGGCTCTCGTGCATGGTCACCAACCAGGAAGCCCCATCTGAGCCTTAGGGCTCAGGGCTCTTATCACCCTCGCCCATGGGAGAGGTCAGGATCAGCACTGGTCAGCCATTCACGGGCTTCTGTGACCCACCACATGGATGATAAAAAGTTACAAAGAGAAAGTGCAGGGTTTCAGTTCTAACAAACAGTTTTCCCAACCTTTGAAACATTGTACTACTATTTAGCTGTAGCTCTGTAGCCCTTTAAGATGAAGAAATAGGACAACAGATGATTTCAACACTTTGGGCATCATGTGGCCACTCATAGGATACTTCCTAGACAAAGTCTTTGAGGCCACTAGAGGTTTAAGAGCTCATTTTGATCCATTTGCCTATTAGTCAATGTTCATAAAGTATATGAATTTTGCTCACACCAATGAAATATCTGGTCTGTAGGTGAATCTGTAGTTCATTTAAACTGGACTATTTTATTGCTATCTATCTATATCTCCCTATCTCTGTATGTTTTCTAAAAGGTATTATAAAAGATAGTAAGAAAAAAAGGAAAACCCTTAACCATGCCTCTGGCCTCAGATTGAAATGGCTTCATCCTGGGATATCTGGTTATTTTTCCTGCAAGGAGTGCTTGTGTATAACTCAAGTGACACTGTACCTATTTGACTGATTTGCTTTAGTGTGACCTGACAGAATGATCTGGTTCATATGCCAGCTCCATTGGTGTCATCCTTGCCTCCTTTCTTACCTTACATCGAATCTATCTGCAAAGCTTGTTGGTTTTACCTTAGAAATATATTTGGAATCTGACCATTCTTACCACCTCCACAGTTACTACTATGGTTTAAGTCATCAATATCTTTTACCTGGACCACTATAAACCACCAGTTGCTGTTGAGTTGATTCCGACCCCATGTGTGCCAGAGTAGAACTGTGCTCCACACTGTTTTCAATGGCTGATTTTTCAGAAGTAGGTTGCCAGGACTTTCTTCCAAGGTGCCTCTGGGTGGACTCAAACATCCAGCTTTTCGGTTAGCAGTCAAGTGCATTAACCACTTGCACCACCCGGGACCATTATAATAGTCTCTTACTTGGTCTAGCTGCTCCTACCCTGCAGTCTATTCTCCACAGAGCAGTCTGAGTTATCCATTTAAAATCCAAGTCAGATTTGGTCACTCCTCCAATGGTTCCCCATTTCAATCAAAATCCAAAACCAAACCTCGCTGCTGTGAGTCGATTCCGACTCATAGTAACACTATAGGACAGAGTAGAACTGGCCCATAGGGTTTCCAAGGAGCGGCTGGTGGATTCAAACTGCCAGTCTTGGTTTGGAGCTGAGCTCTTAAGCCAAGCTCTTAACCACTGCACCACTATAAATCCTAAAAATTACGAGGTTCTAACTGCTCCCTTCCCATCACCCTCCCCTTCTGATCTCATACGCTACTGCTCTCCTCTTGCTCACTGTGTTCTAGCTATCCTGTTCCTCAAGCGTGCCGTCCAGCTTCCTTCGCAGGGTCTTAGCACTTGCTGTTTCTTCTTTGTAAAATGTCCACCCTACCCATGGAGAGCTGAATGGCTCATTTTCTCAGTTCCTTCAGGCCCCTGCTCAAATGTCAAGACACCTTCCCAGATAAACATATTTAAAATAGCAACCTCCCCCCACCCCGTCTCCTTTCCCTGCTTTATTTTTCTATGAATCACCATCTCAAATAGTTATGTATTTATTGGCTTATTTTTTGCTTTTCCCCACTAAAGTATAACCTCCATGGGAGCAAGGAGTTCGCATCTTGGTGAATCTTTCTACCGTCATTCCTCAGAACAGTGCCTAGCACATAGTACTTATTTACGAAGTACTTGTTGAATGACTTTGAATCATTCTGTTTCTGAAAATGAGCTTTCCAAATCTTAATTTCACAGCTTTAGCATTTTAAGTATTTGAGCTAAAATCTACTTACTCTTGACTCTAATCCCTTTGGTGGGGAAACCAAACTAGTGAAAGACCTAAGAATAATAAGTACTTCGTGTATGCCAGGCTCTGTGCTTAAGCACTTGGCTTTACCTCACTTAATTCTAACCATAGTCCTATGAGGTAGGTATTATTGGTGTTGTTGTTAGGTGTCGTTGAGTCAGTTCTGACTCACAGAGACCCGACGTATAACTGAAGCTAACACTGCCCGATCCTGTGCCATCCTCACAACTGTTGCTATGCTTGAACCTATCATTGCAGCCACTGTGTCAATCCATCTCTTGAGGGTCTTCCTCTCTTTAGCTGACCCTCTACTTTACCAAACATGATGTCCTTCTACAGGGACTGGTCCCCTGATAACATGTCCAAAGTACGTGAGACGAAGTCTCACAATCCTCACTTCTAAGGAGCATTCTGGCTGTATGTCTTCCAAGACAGATTTCTTCATTCTTCTGGCAGTTCAGGGTATATTCAATATTCTTCACCAACACCATAATTCAAAGGCATTAATTCTTCTTTGGTCTTCCTTATATCAGCTTTTACATGCATATGAGGCAATTGAAAATACCATGGCTTGGGTCAGGTGTACCTTAGTCCTCAAGGTGACATCTTTGCTTTTTAATCCTTTAAAGAGGTCTTTTGCAGCAGATTTGCCCAACGCAATGCGTCATTTGAATTTCTGACTGTGGCTTCCATGGGCGTTGACTGTGGATCCAAGTAAAATGAAATCCTTGTCAACTTCAATATTTTCTCCATTTATCATGATGTTGCTTATTGGCCCAGTTGTGAGAATTTTTGTTTTCGTTATGTTGAGATGTAATCCATACTGAAGGCTGTGGTGTTTGATCTTCATCAGTAAGTGCTCCAAGTCCTTGTCACTTTCAGCAAGCAAGGCTGTGTCCTCTGCATATGGCAGGTTGTTAATGAGTCTTCCTCCAATCCTGATGCCTCACTCTTCTTCATATACTCCAGTTCCCCGATTATTTGCTCAGCATAAAGACTGAATAAGTATGGTGAAAGGATACAACCCTGACACTCACCTTTCCTGATTTTAAACCACACAGTAAGAGATCCATATTTGTGCCCATTACCAAGAAAGGTGATCCAACAGAATGTGGAAATTATCAAACAATATCATCACACAAAAGTAAAATTTGGTGAAGATAATTCAAAAGCAGTTGTAGCAGTACATGGACAGGGAACTGCCAGAAATTAAGTCAGATTCAGAAGACGACCTGGAACATCATTGCTAATGTCAGATGGATCTTGGTTTGAAAGTAGAGAATACCAGAAAAATCTTTACCTGTGTTTTACTGACTATGCAAAGGCATTCAACTGTGTGGATCATAACAAATTATGGATAACATTGCAAAGAATGGTAATTCCAGAACACTTATTTCTGTTCATGAGGAATCTATACGTAAGTGTTATTACTATTCTTCTACAGAGACTAGGAGAGGTTGCTGTGACTGACTCCATACTGCCTCCTAGCCGTCTCCTCCTGTACTGCGTGACGGGTTACTGAAGTAGTGAGGTCACTAGACTCTAGAGCCACCCTTTTGCAACCGTGTACTACCGTTCTGGGGGGCCATATATCAAAGATCTCCGGTACCGTTATAGGCAATTCACCTTTCTGACATCTCCTAAAAGCCATTGCCTTCTATGCTGGGACTTCTGGGTTAATATAAGGTTTGCTTAGCCAGACTTACGAAAACGCCTCATTCCCTTATTTTCCTGCACACACATTTAAGCACAGAGGTAGTTTAAGCCACTTGGTCAAAGAGGATAGGATCAAAACGCTGTGATGCAGAAGAAGCGGGGTCAACCGATTCGGTTTACCGCCTGCAAGTGGGGCATTTAAATATAGTGGAAGAAAAAACAAGTTCTTAAAAAGCAGTGGATCCTCGGATCGGAGAGAAGTTGATCCGAAGCAGAAGAGGACTATGGGGGCCGAACGACGCTCCCACTCCACGCTAGGCCTGACAACAGAAAACGATATGCCGGAAAGGCCTTCTCCAGAGGTGCTTCAGTCTAAGAACGGAAAGTTCGCAGGACTTCTCTGCCCCGCAACCCGGCCTGTGGGAGCGGAACACTCAGACAGGGCGACCAGCCCAAACCCGCGGCGCGGGGCACGGGGAGGAGCCGGCGCCCGCCCCGCCCCCTCCTCGGGGATGCCGGGATGTTTATACTCCTGACAGCGGCGGCCGCAGGAGGAGGAGCGGGAGCCGCGGGAGGATGGGTCGCCGCTAGGGTCGCACTCTGGACGCGCCTCGCCGTGCGCAGGGTGGGTGCCCGCGCCTGCAGCGTCCGCGGGGGCGGCGCGGCGGGAGGTGGTCGATCGGCTCCGGGCCTTGGAGGCACAGACCCCGGCCTAGCGTGCCTCTCCGCGGCGGCGCCTCACCGAGCCGCCCGCCTCTCCCGGGTCCCTCGCGGGAGGGAGAACGGAAAACTCCCAACTTCCTGGTGAGTCGCTGCCCGGGGCTCCGGCGCTCGGGCCGGGCAATCCCGGCCGGGTGGGGCTGTTTGCGGGAGCTGGGAGGGGAGAGGGGGCTCGGGACTGCGCGGGCGGCCTCCAGATCCCCCTGCCCGGGGGAGGTGGGGTGGGGCGCCCCGCGCTTGAGCCCGGTGCGGGTTTCAGCCCTGCTCGTTGGCGGTGGTGGGAGCGAACGGCAGGAACTTCATGCCTGGCAGGGACGGGCGGCTCGAGGCCGCGGTGGGCGCCGCGGTAACTAAGAAACTCCGCCGCCACTGCGGCTGCGGCGGCAACAGGTCTTTGCTTTCAGGACCAGAGGAACTTAGACGAAGTCCCGCCTCCTGCCTCCCGGCGGGTGCTCATTGGCGGCTCCAGTTATTTATCCCTCACGGATTGGTTAGGTCCAGCTGTCAGGATTCGGCAGCCGCCCGACTTAGAAAAGTGAAGCTCACTGTTGGGAGAGTGGATAGTGGGAACGTGCTGATAGGGAAGAATCTGAAGTGGCTTGAGAAGTACTTGTGTGTGTGTGGGAGGGGGGAGTGATAGACCTTTTGGAAAATGAGTTTTATGGAGACTATTAGGATTAGGAAATGTTGGAGAGAGAGATTGCGAGACAGTAGCAAACGCAGGTGATGAGGATGGTGGCAATGGAAAAGACAGAAGGAAATTGAAAATTGAGGCCAAAGCCAGAGAAACGAACGGGAGCCCAAAGGAGAAAAGTCAGGAAGCGAACACAACCTAAAGTATGCCGCGGTGAGGTTCGAAGAACTCTTGCCTCCTTCCTTTATACTGTAGGCCTTGGAAGATGATGTATCAAACAGATGAATCATGTTCTCGCCTCGCTGTAGCCCTTGTTAGGGATAAGTACTAAAAATATACTTATTTTACTCTAAGAAATACTTCCTTCATTGAGTAGTCTGTTGACTGGACTGAAAATCAGAAATGTACTACGGAGGTGAAATGATTTTTCTCCTCCTTTGAGACGACTGATCTTACGCGTGCAGTTGAAAACATCAGGGACTCATAGTTTGTAGAGCGTGTCTACCCATCAGAATTAGAACCACTGTTCTTAATTCCTCATCGAAGGAATTGCAGTTTCAGGAGCATGCACACTCCCTACAGGCGACAGCAGTATGTCTTGTCAGGTTGCATTACAGAGCATAGTACAGAATATGTGTGTTATAAATCTGTTAAGGACCGTGTGCTGCTGGTGTAATCGAAGTATGTTGCGTTCAGAAAGTTGATGGTATGTTTGCGACAACCGGATACACACTGAAAACGGTGAATGGTAAAAGAAGAGATACAATTAACCCTGTAATGCTTTGTGACAACTCTTGCTGAAGGGACGCTTAGTATTCTTGGCTGTAACACTTGGTGAAAGACAGTGTATTTGAAACGGTTAACATAAAATTTAAGCAGTTATTCCATTTCCAGAGGAATGAATCCGCTGCTACCCTTGGGGAGATCCAGTCCACAGCTTGCTTCGCTCCTAAAACCGCAACATCCTCTATTAAGCCGTGGACTGGGAGCTTGCTGGGGTGGGGGAGAGATATTGAAGCTTTGAAAAAGCTTTGCCTCTTGGAAGAGTCAAAGGGGCAAAAGCTGTATGGGGCGGTCAGAGGGCGACCGGCAAACTCAAAAGGCCAAGGAAGTCTTTGCAGAGGCTGTTTGCTTTCTCTGGGGTTGGGGAAAGCACGGGGACCCTCCGGGAGGTTGCGGGCCTAAGACTCCGCTTTTCAGCTGGAGGCTCCGCCCGCCGTCGCACTGACGGCTTCTGTAGCCAATGAGCGGCGAGGAAACCGCGGTTCCCATCTCTGAAGGGCGGGTACTTCCTACCCCGGCCCCAGGCTCGGAGAAGGAAGGGAAAGTACCCCTACGAAGGATGGCTGGAGTTGGAGGGGCGCCTGGTTGAGCGACATCCTTGGGAAATAAATGCGTAAAAATAAAAGGGAAAGGATCGAGGTCCATGTTTTTTTGATCCCTCGTACACGTCTTGTTTCATGATTCAACTGCATCTAGAACTGGACCTTTATAGTTAATAAGACGAAGCTAGTCAACAAACTAAATAGATTCTGTGTGGCTATTTGGGATTTTACTCTGAAATTATTAAAAAATGAAATCCAAGAAATGCCAGAATCTGAATCGCTAAGCGTATTCACAGTTACATGGGAATCTTTCCATAGTTAAAAATCCTATCAATTTTTGAAACTAAAGACCGTAACTTTATTTCCAGAAGTGAGACAGTCTCATTTTATAACCTGCGCTACTATTCAGGTTTATTTATTTAGATAATACTTGCAGCACCCTGTATTCCTTTTCCCTCTTACACATTTTCCTCGCTGGACAATTTCAAGAGCTCTTTTCCAGTTCAGCAAAACAACGCTTAACTCCAAGAATGAGGAAAGCACGTGTGGTATGATGGCAACGTACTAGTGGAGGAGGGGAGGTTTGAGGCTAGTATCATTAACATACCCGATTAATACATTAAAAATCAGCATGTCCTTTTAAATGACCGTAAGTGCAGTCATAGTTTATGTAGACAAATATTTAATCTCATACATTTTCCCTCCCTCATCTTCCTGATGGCTGCAATTGACAGTTTGGGCTCTGATTTATTGCAAATATTTAAGTATTTAACTATTGTGCATGTACTGAAATGTAGATGTCTTAATTTAAATATGTGGCCAGAGATATCATTAGAGATTTTTGCAGGACTTCTAGAACCAAACACTACTTTCCTAGGCACTGTTTAATGTTTTAAAATGTATCTCTATAGCAGTGCTGCTATTTAGATATACGTAGACACCGTGCGGGAGATCTGGAGACAGAATAGTGATTCTTTAATGCAGTTGCGGAAAAGAAGTTGCTTAATCAGATAATAAGTTCTAAAATTCTTTCAGACTTTGTTTTCTTTAGTTTTTTTTAAAGATAGGCTTTGGTATTTAAAAAATGTTCAGTGTAGTTACAGCTGTACAAAGCAGCACTCTGCCCACATTCTCAGTTTTATACAAATTAAAATACCTGTTTCTTCAAACATCATGGGACTTTTGTGGGTAGATTTAAATTTGATGTATCAGGTATTTTAGCATTCCCATTGAGTTGACTCTGATTCATAGTGACCCTATGGGACAGAGTAGAACTGCCCCATATGGTTTCCAGGGCTGAATCTTTATGGAAGCGGACTGCCACATCTTTCTCCCATGGAGAGACTGGTGGGTTTGAGCCACCTACCTTTCGGTTAGCAACCAAGCTCTTAACCACTGCACCACCAGGGCTCCTCCTATTTTAGCACACCATGTATAAAACACAGTAGCAAACCTAGTGTAGTACTTGAGGTTGTCTTTGTAAGTGGCATATATGATTGCTGTTTGCCAGCAATTGCTTTATTAGCAATTACTTTATCAGAATTTCTGTAAATATACAGCAAGATGTTTTAAGAAGCAGTTTTAAAATACTTTTGAGGATGTTTCAATTGAATTATTTCTCCTTCGTTTTTATAGGGGATATGGGTGAATAACATTTGGTTGTTTGATTGTCATCAAATATATTCATTTGCAGGATATAGTGACGGTTCAGAATTTTTTAACTTATGAACAAAACTAATGTGCCACTGAAAGGTCACAGCCTTGAGAACGCTGTGGAGCCGTTCTACTGTACATACACGGGGTTGCCATGAGTTGGAATCGACTTGACAACAACAATAACAATGTGGAACCACTCAGTCTTAGAGTTATAAAGCTTCTAAACTGTTTATTCTTTTTTTAATAGTTAGTGGTTTGATCATCCCTTTGTGTTATATACCTTCACAAAATATTTTTTGTTCTAAAGAAACTCGTTAGAGAATGTGTTTAATGAAGTTTGAAGACAGTGGGAATGAGGACAGATGTTCATGAAGCTTTCCTTAATTTTTTGAGCAGAATAATTTTTTTTTATAAACTTTGTCAAAAAGAAGCCCAACCATAATATTTATGTAGTGAGCTTATACAAGGAGCTGGTTTGTAGTAATAGCGCCTCATAGTGTTAATCAGAACAGTATATAATTAGATGAAATTTATTTAAGTGGTTTATAAAAATTTAGAAATAAATGTTTCCTATTACTTAATGGAAACAGGCCTTTTTGTAAATCTTGCTGCTGATCTTTTGTAAAGGGGCAGATAATATTTTAGGGTTTGGGAGCCATATAGTTTCTGTTGCAATTGCTACCGTTGTCGCCATAGATAGTATGTGAGCAAATGGCCGTAGATGTGTTCCAGTAAAACTTCATTTATACAGTCAGGCTGTATGTAGGTCCACCCCTGGTATAGAAGATAATCCTGAAGGTGTAAATATGATTGTAGGCAATTGATATTTGGGTTGATGTGGCTTTTCCTCAGCAATTTTGTAACCTTTTTTGGTCCTTAGACCCTTGTGACAATCTCTTGATTTCATCAGACCTTCCCCAGTCCCCTCAGAATAGTGTCTAACCATGTACTCTAAGATTTCGTGTTTCATTTCAGAGAATTCATAAACTTCTGAACCTCTTTTAGGGTTAGCCACCGTTTCAGGCTTATCCACCACTCTTGCTTCCCTCCCCTATCTTGGGACACCTAATATATGTGCACCTCTCTCCAGCTTCCTCCTCCTTAACTAAGATGGAATCTGCTCTCTGTCATTTATCTTTGCTCAATTGACTAGTAATGTTTTAATAGGAATGTGTTTTAGTGTGTTTCTTTAACCTGCAGTTTTATGTTAGGCCTACTGGAATGATCTTTGTCTCTTTTAGAGGGAATTTCTGGTATGAGCAAGCCAGATTCTTTTTTTTTTAAGAAAAATTGACTCAGTCTTTTAAAAAAATATTGGAAAGGGCCTGGGTTTGGGGGGAGGACCTACAGTCAGGGTGTGTGTGGCCTGTGTGGATAGGGGGTACCTCCTCCCTTTGCTCTCAGAGAATTAGCTGTAGCCTGACCTGTGTGCAGTACCGAGAAGCTGTAGAGTGGAATAGAAAATGCAA